TTTTTTTTCTTCTCTTTGCGCCAGCAGAAGTTTCCCCGTGCACGAGGAAGCAACGGCCCGTGCGTTTCCCCGGCGGACTCGCGCCGCCGCGAGCAAGCGCGGCCCGGGCGAGCCCTGGGCATCGTCCCTCGGAGGAGACCCCGGCAGAGTAACCGGCTGCGCGCTGGATAAAGCGGACGGTTCTGCAACGTGAAACCGCTCCTGGTAGGGGAAAGGCTGCCTTCGCCAGCGGGATATTTCTCCAAATACAGGGTAGTTTTTTTCACGCCCTCAGATGTCTTTAGAAAAGAAAAGGAGAGATTTTGTTTTGTCACGGGAAGAACTAGAGAACTTGCAGAAGATCATCCAGGCTGTACGTGCTAGGTGCTTCCGTCCAGGCTGCTGCTGCGGAAGGTCTCTAGTCCTAAGTTCAGGGTTTAATCTAACGGTGAGATTCAAGATAGCCCCCAGGATAAAGGGCACACTCTAAAAGTCAAGGGGATGGAGCGTCTGTTTTACGAGCGGAGACTGAAAGGTCTCGGCTTTTTAAGTCCACTGAAGTGGAAGGAGAGAGCGAGTACCTTAACACGCTTCATCCACGTATCTGAGAGAGAAATACCAAAGCGACAAGGGCTATTTAAATTTAAAGGACACACGGGCACAAAAATGAATGGGTATAAACTGAATACTGATATGCACAGACCAGAAATAAAATTTCTAATCACTACAGGGATGGAAATTCTGGAACAGCTTTCCAACAGCAGGAAGAAGGGCAACCCCCCCCCCCAAACAAAAACCAAAAACCTTACTTAAAAAATACTGTATACTTAAAGTAAGTTCTTAAAATTTACTTAATTTTTTGCTGAAAATCCAGAAGGGTGGGGAATGTGTTGGTGTAGCCATCTGTGACAACAGCTATTTTTCCTCTAAGACCTTCTCGTGAAGTCGTTCTAATGAAGTCTTTGCAGATGTCAAACCCGCCCTACAAGTTTACACTGCAAGATAAAGACTGAAATTGCTATTTTAGGTCCAGTGTTAAACCTAGTAGTAAAAATATCCAAGAGGCAAACATAAAACCGTCTCCCCTTCAGAAAGCCATTTTCATGGACTGCACTAATTAAGACTCATTCAGACTGATTGGATGAGTCACTGGAATGAAACATAACAGGGAGAGTTTATTAAAAACTCACTGTACAAAATTTAGCACATGGGTTTACTGAACCGATGCAACATTCAGCTTGACTTAGTCTCTAACATTTCTAAGAAAAGAAACACTACTTTTTGCTTGCCTGCGCTGCACAGATTTCCACAGAAAGTCTAATCAATTTAGAAATTAAAGTGTCAGAGCAAAGGAAGCTCCTGTGGTTGGAACCACTTCAATGACCAGTTTTGAACCCTCAAAAAGGCTCCTTTCCAGAGGTCTGCACGTTCGCTTACCTACCAGATCTTATGCCAGTGTTAATTTTCTGAGGAAAGCTGCAATAGCTTAGATGAAGTCTGTTTTTATACAGCTACTCAAGTGGAGCTTACTCTATTTTATGCCAGGAGAGCAGTAGATCCATTTCAGCAGCACATAGGACAGGAGACAAAACTGGGATTCATAAATCAAAGCTTTCACATAGATTATCAATTTGTAAAATGCTTCAAAAACCTAGCTAGAAATACAATGCAAAATCCTAATCACGATACGCATGTCAGCATGAGGAAATAATTCATGGAAATATCTTACAATTATCTTTAACTTCCCTGGTTTCAGGCAGTATCAAAGCTGGGCAGCGTGCTTCACCGCTGCTGCAGAGTCTGGGGCAAACTCCAGATTAGGAATTGCAGATATAGACAACGCATACATATCTAAACATTGTATTTAGTTGAGGGCAATGAAAACGAACCAACATCACACAGATTATCCCTTAATTATCATCAGTTTTGCTAAAATTTCTACCTCACTGACCACGTTATACCGAACACGCACGCAGCAAAGGGGAAAGCAGTGCAGAGACCTTTTTCTGTCTAGGATGAGTAATTTCAAGCACTCATGCGCTGTAAAGTAGATGCATTCATACACAGGAGGCCAATCAACCCTGAAACCGGTGGGAAACCAGGCAGGTGTAAGTAGAAGTTCGCTGTCTCTTAGGACTGGGCCTTGGAGGGGGAAACGTGGAGGCTGCAGCGCTCCCAGAAGCTGTAGCCATGCTGCAGGAGCCAGAAGCAGGAAAGACCAGTTTTGAGATGACGGCAGCTGTCCACAGCCTGCATGTTGTACAGGGACCCCAAAATTTCCAGAATCATTTAGGGGATGCAAATACAGAAAGAGTATAACAATAATTTTTTAAAAAGAAAAAAGGTGCCATGATCTAATCAGCAGATTGTGTGGGTAGATGTAAAAAAAGTCATTAAAAGTGCAATCCAGATTGCAGTGGACAGACTTTCATCTCAGGTATGAGATCTCAGGTATAAAATGCTGCGGAAAAGGAATATTTGGGTCATTTTCCTACTTTGGAGCTCGGCAGGTGATGGTGGTCTTCATCCCCAGCAGTAGTGAGGAGAAGTACCATCCAGCCGTGCTGCTTTGCAGAAGTATTTTGCAGCGATGACCTCAAACCCTCTTCCAAAGGGTCACTGAGCTCCAGCCTAGCCGCTCGAAGCCCAGCAAAATCAGCAGCCCAACCTGCCCGCTGCCCAAAGACGTAGGAGGGCCCTGTCCTCCCCCTCCACCCCAAGCACCTTCCTCTCCCCGTCCCCTCGGTGTCCCTCTTACCTGCAGCATCAGTCGCTCTCGCCCGGCCACCCCATCTCCTCAGCTCACAGCCGCAATTGCTGGAGCTGGTTCCTCCTGGGGATTGTAAACCAGTCTCTGGTTTCCTGTCACCATCTGAATCATCGACCCCAACATCCGCCGCTCGCCTGGTCAGCCCCTCGCTGGCTGATGAGAGGCCGGCCGCCAGCGCGCCCCAGCAGTTCTTGCAGCAGTGTTGCGTGTTATTTGCTGCGGCGAGAGGAAGAGACGGTGACCGCGGGGAAGGCTGCCTGTCCCCAAGCAGCCCCGGCGCTTCAAAGTTTGGCTGGTGCCCCTGCAAAGATCAGCACCAGCCAGGACTTTCCTTGTAGCAAACACCCTTAGCAAGAATGAACTCAGCACAAAGTGTTATTTGTACACACCAGGAGCGACACATGCTGCCTGAAACAACTCAGAGCAGATAAAACAAAAAGGAAGCAGTTACTTTGGTGTTACAGAGAGGAAAACGGAGGCTCAAAAATGCAACAACCAGCCTGAGGTCACCACTGCTAATGGCAGAGCCTGGAGCTGAACCAAGATCTGATACTGTCCAGAGCTGCAAGCACTTTTTTTTTTTTTTTTTACAGATACCAGACAGTTTCACTGTGCTCCTAAAAAGTAGCTCATGGATTTTCTTTTGTGTTTGAATAGAATAGAGAGGCTTTATGAATAGCAACAGACTTATTTACTCGCTCAAAGCCCTGATGTGGCACAAGAGAGCTGTATCCTGCTCTAGGAATAAGAAACGTCTGCACGTGCATACAACAGTCCCACGTATTTATAGTTATCAGAGTGGAAGGGACAGTTAGGCACGTGTTTCGGAGAAAAAGACATTTCACGCTGCTGCTCGTTAAGCAAGGAAGGGTCCACAGTACCTCTCTTCCATGCAGCCATGTAAATTATTCAGGAAAGGGAACAGCTTTTTGTTATATTTAATGTAGTTAGGACACTCAAGCTGTCAGCTGCAACCTCTCTCATCAGGTAGGTGGCATTTTTCTATCCTAAAACCTATAAAAAAAGACAACGATTTACAACATATGCCACTGGGGACTTTACTATCAAGCCTTCAGAGGAAGCATCACTCTTAAGAGAGTTAACCAATGTTTACACATATGCAAATATATTTAAACATTACCTGGTGCCACTCTAACCTGAGGATCACAGATAACTGCTCCTTCCAGAATGGTTCCCACCCAACACCCAGGTGCGAGGACTAGCTTGAGATCAGCACATGTGTCCTGCGCCAAAGCCTGGAAGAGCAAGGCCCAGCTTTTGTTTGTATGGCTTCTGGCTGGTCTCTCTGGAGGGGACACTATATAAACTGAAATGCATTTCAGACTGCTAATACAGCTGTTGGAGTAATGGCATTTCTAGCAGATGTCTTAGCTATGAAGTACTTTGTTAGGTGCTTTCTAGCAGTTTTTTGCCTATTTAAACATAAGGTGGTGATAGACCAGTGACAGGAGATTTGCAAAGAGGTTGTTTAGAGCAGAGCTGTTGCTCTGCACGTGTTGGAGATGGTTTATCTTTTTTTGTTTCAGAAGAACTCTATTATTTTATTAGGGACAGTCGATGCTAAATATTTACTTGCATACAGCTTCTCTGATTTGCTTTACCACTCCAGAAATGACTCATTGCCTCGATACGGACGTTACCACTGTTGGCATCGGTTGCAGCAAACGCACCTTGTGTTAGTCACCTAATTGCTCCTGGAACACAACGCGTGGGACGGTCCCACCTCTCGAGAATAAGTAAGAACTGTTACTGTGCCAAACAGTGGCACCGTTACCAAGGCTTACAGATCACATAAAGCAGGGGTCACCGGCAGGATGCTACAGCAGCTCTCTGGAAGAACGATGCCCTTCAAAGGCATCAGTCCCTTTGAAAGGCTGACCACCTTGCTTTCTAACTTCCATCAGAACGTAATTACTGCAGTAATACAAACAGTCATACAGACACCATTATATTAGAGCATCGTTATGTGCATCATTATGTTTTTCTCATAAGAAAGGCTTCATTTACCTATTCAGTGCCCCAAGGGTCAGAACGTAGCCCCTACTCCAAGCAGTTACAGACACAACCCAAAATCCTGCTTTTTGTGAAGCAAGATTAGGCCTTCTCCCTGCAGATGAAAGGGCAGACAATAACCATTCAGCATCTCATTCAGCTTGTGCATCAGGCTCTACCCTGTGTCTATGCTCTCTCTCTCTCCTGTAATCCCTGTGCTTCATCTAGGCTTGCTGCCAGAAACCATTTCTGGTCTGATAAAAGGTCAAAGACACTGAAGCATCATGCTTTTTTCCACTGCAGTAAATTATATAAACTGCCTTATCAGAACTCTGTTCCTCTTTTGTCCTTTTTGAAAGTTTATCCATTTCAGCCTTTTTTACTGAGCAAACACAGAACACTTGTTCCTTTAGCCAGTTTTATCAGTTAACCAGACTTTGTTTTTATTTTTCCTCCACGTGATGCATAGCTAACCAAATCTAGAAAGACCTCCTAAGGCCCAGACAGGTTGTAGGAATTCAGCTTCCACCCTCCCTAGCTTACCTGCTATGGCTGAGGACATCAGGCTTGAAGACCCTTGAGGGCTAGATTACATCCTTTCAGATAAAGGCAGGGTCTCATCAAAGACCAGCTGCACTTGCTTAAACCAGATGTTATAATTAACACTGATCACCAATTCTCATTGAGGCAATGATTAGAAGACAATGAATCATCAAAATCCAACCTATCCATGGCAAAACACCCCATGCAAAGACTTTTGAGGAAAACTTTCTGAGCTCCAGTGGGCTCTTTCTCCCAGAGCGGATAAACGGCAAGTGCAGCCTCATCTGCTTTGTGAGAGACCAGCATTGCTGGAGGAAACTTTGGGACTACAGTAAACATGTGGCTCATCCTAGCTACTTGAGTTTTGCCGGACTTCTGTGAAAACTTGAAAGAGAGCTTTGTCTTAGAAGAAAATTTCTGGCAAACTTAAATAGGGCACGCATATTTCTGTAAAGGATAGGCAACGGCTTTCCTCTTAGGTAGAGCTGCGCGAGCATTTACTCAGCTGAAGAGGAAGCACCACCTCCTTCCCTGCCCCAGCTGCACACCCTGCTGCAAATCTCATCTCCTGGTGGTGAAACTGAAAGCAGCTACACAACGGCTGAAGATACATTATGCTACCACCCAGTGGAAAGCAAGCTCATGGCTAATATTTCTACGTGCTTTGCAAAAAATTGGCCAAATAAGCCTTACAAAGACTAATCCTATACACCCCTATGTTGCTGTAATGCATCTTCCCATTCTTACCCTCCTTAGTTCATCCTTGTAGGCAAAATAAGTCTTAAATGTGAACACAAAAAAATAGAAGGCTTGAATGCTTTTATTTGATTTTTATACAGCAGTACAAATTATACAGATTCATTACAGTGCAGAATTTGCAGGGGTTTATAGAGGTACTTAGTGATTTTTGGTTTATTTCAAATAAAGAGGCAGATCTTGGGAGCACGGTGGCATGAACAAAACAGCCTCACAGTAGGAAGCAAATCCCTACGTGCTGCGCGCTAATCTGGCTGAAACCTAGGCGGACAGAAGTTGGCACAAGTACAGGCAGCGTTCCCAGAGCTCACATATCCCAAACAGCAACCCTGGGATACTCTACAGCTTTACACGACAACTTGTGAGTTTACAGGCAAGCAGATTGTTTCTGTAACAGTGCTGCAGCTCCTTAAAGCCTTTGGACACACTTTGCTCCGAAGGGGACAGAAAGGAGGAAAGCCAATGCTAAAATTAACTTGGTGTTGAGCAAGCAAGGTTATGTAACAGAGTCATTTCAGCTATATAAAAGGAAACCATAAAATGCTTTAGAGCTAGTCCCCCAAACAGCTACAGTTAAGAGGAGGAACGTGATCTCAGACCTAACCACCGTGACACCGTACGCATACCGTGACATCATACAGGGAAACCCGAACCTGCCCTCCCATTTCTTATGCCCCTCTAGGCTCCCCTAGATACGAGCAGGAAAAAGCAATACTCCCTCGCAAACCTCTGTGAGCAGGAAAGGTCCAAGCCATGCAGGTATAGCTTTGGTAGTGCGTTTCTCCAGTTAGTCCAGAGCATGCAAAGTCACAGCAGGGTATTGCTATTACTAATGTGCATCAGGCTTCAGAGTCAAGTGTCTGGCATTAAAAGATTAAATCATTTCAGAAAGCAGAGTCAAAGAATGATTACATCATTTTAAATTCCTCTAGTAAGTTTGGCTTAATATCACTATAGTGAGTGGTATCACAAATGGCAGAATTGTAGAATTCGTAGGTAAAATTTAGGCGCCTAGTAAAAGATGGTCCATGCTATAGCAAACCGCTGCAACTTTACATATACTTGATTCTTTAAAACCCTGTAATGGGTTAAGTGGCATTTAAGAGGAAGGATTCAGCTACCAGCTTAGAAAATCCCCATCTCAGCTGGAAATCAAATTCCTCCTCAGCCACAGCAACTTCCCTTTCTGAAAATTTAAGATAAGAAACACCCAGGAATTGCAACTCCAGAATCAAGTCCAAAGAAATGCCCTTGAGAACCACAGAAGTAACTGATCCTGCACCAGAGTATGTCAGGATATATGTTAACACCCTCACTCCTTCAGAGCCTTTGCTCTCCTGTGGTAGTAAAATATAGTAAAATACCACCAGAACGTTAAGACACAAACTTCAACACAAATGTAAAGCAGCCCGCAGGTAACTGCTCATTGACCGGGTTCTTGCTGAAAGCCAGTTTGAATAATCATGAGAGTTATTTCCACACAGTGAGAAGGAATGAGGTCAGTTTAGAAAAGCAGTGACCTCTGTCTGGCTTTAAACTGCACTGCTTGGAGCAAACTTGACACGCGCCGCGTTTGTCTGAGGAGATTCCTGGGAAAAAGGTTATTCCAAATCGCTTTGTTCAAAGCAGTCAGCGGGACAAGGGCCGCTCTGAGAGTTACTGCACTTGACTGCTGTAATGAAGGGGTCACTAACGCATTGCAGAATTCTGCCGGCTTTATTATTACATCTTTTGTACAAAAAGGTAGAGTTGCAATATCATACGATTTGTTCTAAAGCACGCAAGATTTTATTATCTTTTCTGAAGACAAAGCAGCAGCTGCTACTACTACAAGTAGCAGATACGCTCCTACTATACTCTGTGCTAAAGTCAGGATTGAAACTATAATTATATTAATACAAAGATTCAAAAAATACCAACATCATCCAAAATTGCACTGGGACAGTGAGTCTTGGTCAAGATCACTCTATCACAACCAGCTCCAGTATGGCTAGCAGAACTTCTAAAATACATGGTCAACATTGGAAACGTATTAGTAGCCCCGGTGTTTCAGTGTATCTTGCTAGTAGCCTAACAACTTGTTGCTACTTTAGAAAGGCAAGTAAGTCACCCTCGAGGGCTTAACTTTAACTTGATTCAATCACCGGTCCATCACTGAACGTTTGAACCCTTCCACCTGTTTCTTCAGCCATCAGAACAGCATTCATGACCACAAGCATAAAGAGCCCACTTGGATGCTGGGCCAGACCTCACAGCTTGATGAGCCAGCAAGCCACACGCAGGGCCAGTACCAGACTGCTGTGATTAGCTCTCCCAGGACCACTCCTGGGTTTGGAGGCCCAGTGTTTATTTTTCTGTGGTGGAGAATGCAGTTCAGCAGCATGGTAGACGCTACTTACTCCTGCAGTTTCTCCTTCGGCTCTTCCAGAGATGCCATACTAGCCACCTTCACCAACTGCAACCCAATTGGAGAAAGAGGATGAAGTACGTTCTACGGTAGCAAAGCAGCGCTATGCCTTAATTCAATTTCAGTTCCAAAACAAGTCTACCACATTCCTGGCTTTTAAGTTCAACCTTCAAGAAAGGTCTGCACAGCCACCAAAATTAACTGTGAGAATATGAATAGCCAGAAAGTGAATTATCTGTTTGTTGCCACTGCTGGTAACTTTCTTGGTCTAGGCTTTGCCATGCTACGTTTACCTTGAAGCTGCAGGTAAATTATGTCACAGCCTAAGCATTAGCTGTGTTTTGCTGGTAGGAGGGGGCAAATCTTGCTTCTTCCTATAAAACCTAAATGCCACGTTCATAAGAAAACAGTTTTGTCAGCTGTTGACATGAGCTAGTTTGATATATTTCTGTACTGGAATAATTTAGTTTGCAAATGGTGATCAATTAAACAAGTTCTTGAAGAGGGAAGAGAAAAAGGAATGGAGAAGTCTGACCCTAAACCATAGAAGCAGCATAAGGCAGGATACTCCAAAGAAACCAGGCAACTCGTTAATACTTGCATCCAAGGAACACTGTTCAAAACAGATATTAAACAGTATCAGCATTAAGCCCTTTTCACTACTAGGAAATCATTGACCAAACAAGGATTAATGGGTACGGAAAACTATTTACTGGAACAAGATGAGCCATATTCTACCTCTCTACTATCTCACAAACCAGTGCTGCTTTTCTCCAGGCAGAACAATGAAAATGCTGCTTCCACCATTGTGAGCTTTAAAAGACCAGCTATGAGCAAGTCTTGCAGGGGCAGTTGAAGGACCATTACCTCCAGCGAGCTAGTCCTACCCTTACACCTCAGGTAACTATTCATATAGGACAGTCAGGTGCTAGTACACAAGATGTCTCAGCATGATGCTCCAGAGCAGGATTTGGATTCTTTGCTCAAGCAGTCGTAAGAGCAAGCCCAAAGACAGAGGTTGGACTGAATAGCTGGAAGGCAGGCACACTTTCCATCCTTTCATGCAATGGAAAGCATTAAGTCCAGCAGGAAGATCACAGCTTGTTTCCTCAATAAAAATATCTTTTAACTTACCCTGCAGCATGCATTACTCCAAAGGCAAAAGGCAACAGACTCATTAACAGTTACGTCTAGTGGGAAAAGACTTTGTCAAAAGCTTGGGAGAAACTGGGAAAAGTAGCAGCAAACCAATCTTTTCACTTTCTGTCACAGCACATCAGGACACTACATTAAATTGTTCACTGCTCAGACTGGGAGGTCACAGAGTTTTGTCCTTTACCAGGCAAGGGATTTTGCTCAGAGGTTAACAGAACCCAGCTTCTGGAAAACAAATGGAACCACGAGCTATACAAACTGCAAACCATAAGACTTCTGAACTCTGCTTAGCAATTGCCTTCACAATATAACCAAAGTTATACAGAAGCCACAGGACAAAGAACTTGGGCTTGCCTCCCGATTTGCCCAAGCTCGGCCACCTGCACGTTCCCAACTCTTGTCTAAATTAAACTCCTCCCTCTCTCTTCCCTTCCCCACTTATGTGTATGAGTAGTGGGGCTGGTACAGTTGCCCTGTAAGATTTAGGGAGCCAAATTTCCAGATTAACTCCGTGTTGGAGAACTGGAGACAAAACAAGCTATAGCAGACTCAAATAAAGACCAATGTTAAATATTACTTAATGTTTTCTTTTATTTAAAAGATCATTCACAAAATACCATATCCATAAATTTATTTTGTTATGAAGCAGAATGTGTTAAGTGTTTGGAATTTTTTCCTTTTTCCTTTTTTTTTTTTTAACATTTAAAAGTCAACTGTCTTGACTAGAGGTGAGTTTTCGTATGGGAATTTTGTTCTTAAAATCTTTTCCACATTGAAGATGTAACTAGGTCAAATCATTGGTTTGGAATACAACCACACAAATGCATGTCTGTCTTAAATTAAGTATTAGTGTTAGACAAATGGTTCTTATCTCAGAAGCAGATTAAGTGACAGGCAAAAAGAAGGAAAGAGTAGTTCTGTAAATTGCTGGGACTCTGATGTGACAAAGGTAACTTTAAGGAAGAAATTCACTACTAGCAGTGAGGCTCGCAGCGAAGCAGCCATGCTTCCAAACTCTTCTTGCAAGTACTCTGGTGTGTTGGCTGTTTTATCTGAAGGCTGTCAGCACTAGCATTAGGGGCCCAAGAGTTCTTCTCATGCATCAGACCTATCTACAGTATTATAGATCCAGGTTTTGTTTTTAAACATGAATACTCTCTCCCTGTGCTCCAGCCTCCCCTTCCCCTCCCTCCCATACACACACACACACACTCCCAGGAACACTGGCAAGAAACATTAAGTTCAGACAGATGTGGCAACTAGAGATGCTTTTTACCCAAACTTCTATATGAGCAGAATCTATAGCATAATGAATTCTTGTCTGCCCATTTTCAAGGTATTCTGAAAGCAGAGGTCTTAAAACTGTACATCACTGGTTAAAGAAATACAGGGGCTAATAGCAATTACATACTGCATGGCAAAGTATACACTCCTTAAACAAAAATAAAAAAGTCAATTTTATTTGTAGAAACTTCATTTAAAAATTTACCAAACATGTAAAACCCAAAGAAATGTAAGCAGAAAGAGCCTGCGAGCAGTGTGCTCAAATAGGCACATTTTTGCAGCACTAACCTTGAGCTCAGAAGTGTAGTATCATACCATTTAAGTCAATAGCCAGCCAGCAGCAAAAGTCTACTGGCAGATGCTTTATCCATAGAGACTCCACCTATTCACCAGGCTTCTTCTCAGCTAATTTTATTTGTATCTATTAAGTTGGAAGTTCACAGTGACCTCTGTGAAAGGGCAGTTATCTCCCTTAGGTTTACAAAAGGCTCTGCTGTATACAGTAATTCTGTCATCAATTGTCATAAATGGTATCTCACTACATGGTTAGAGCTGTAAATTACTCTAACTGTTCAACTTGTCTGGACTCTCCAGCTTTCCTCTTCAGAGCCACAGCAATACAGAACAAGACATGCAGGCCAGAAGAGGAGCACTGAGGAAGTAAAAGGAAACAATACAGGGTAATAACTAAGTCTAACCTGTGCTTCTAAAGTAAAAGAAACCCAGAAAGGAGAAAGTGAAGCAGCACCTTTGTCCAGAGACCTCCACACTGGTGGAAGCAGCTACACTGCCTTATCTACTGGCAATTGTGCTGCTTAGAAGGAAACAGAAGAGGGAAACTCAGCACAAAGCAGGCACTAGATACAGCAAAGCCAAGAACGTACTAAAAACCACTTGTTAACAGCTGACATGCATTCACAAGCTCTGTGTTTTCGGTTTCAAAGAGGACAAATGCCAGATGGCAGGAATGGTAAACTGCAGGGTTGACATTCCAGCAGAGCTAGTCACTCTGTACTGTCTTGCTTTTTCTCCCGCCTCCCCATTCCCTCTCAACCCCAAGCTCAGTCGTGCTCTTTTACTACTTCCTCTCGGGGCTTGGCTCCACCAAAGATAGCAGAGTTGGGGTTGGCTACTTGATTGAGGGGAGTAGCAACTGTTCGAGGTTTGAGCTGAAGTCGGGGTCGCTGTGCTCTTTCCTCTGAAAGAAAAAAGATCAAGGTTAAGATTTGTCTATCATGGATGGTTGCTTTAACCTGAGGAAGAGAACAGGAGTTTCCTTCCTAAAGGAGGGAAGAATGAATTACAGAAGGTATTCCGATTTACCTTCTGTTGGCTCTCTGAAGTCCATGGAAGAACCACGAAGGGGAGGCCCATCTCTGAAGCGACCGGTGCCACCAGTTCCCATTGAGGCACCAGGTGGTCGCCGGTCTCCAGGACGAGTTCCTCTACCCCGACCTCCCAAGAAGTCATCATCTTTGAATCCTGAAGAAGGAAAACGGTGAACTTAAAGAACACATTTTGTAATGCTTTCAATCTAGATTTTTTTATCTGGATGACTGGAAAGCCTTGCATGTCACTGCTGTCAGTCCAAGATGTTGCACTGAGACTTTACCAAGAGCCTTTGTCTGCAGACAGATTGCTTCACAGATCTCTCTCACATTCTGGAAGTCATACAGATTCCATTTGAAACCAAGTATGCTACCCCAAAGTTCAGAGCCTGCTTTATCCATCTAGAGGTTTAGGTCATATTCAGCCTTTGAGAGTGGGTCACCAAATGAGGTTAAATATGAACTTCAGCTTCAACCTCAGACTGTTACCACCACTAGGTGAGTTCAGACTACAGTAGAAGCAGTTTGATCACACTGGCTACAGCCTTAACTAAAAATTTACAGGAGCAGAGCAAGTGAGAAAAGAGCTAGGGAAAGGTAAAACAGATACAATCCTTAAAAACTACACAAGAGCCTTTAAAACAGACCACAACCCCAGGGCTTTCCAGTTATACCATGACAAGATGTCAATGACCTTTGAAAAAGTGAATCCTCAGATGTTTTACTACACTAAGCAGACATTTACTAGATTAGCAAGTTAGGAAAAAACAATTCGGACTTCATATTTGAAGTTGACCGCACTTCTTCAGTGTACGTATCAAAAAGGAAGGAAAACATCAAGAACTGTCACTGACCAGAGTTTCATTCCCTGTACCAAGGGCTATCTTAGCATAGCTCCCTCTGCCATCTGCATTCAACAGGAGGAAGATGTTTCAGGCTAGCAGGAAACCAAAAGGTAATATATTCAGTTTTTCAGAAGTTTCCTGAAAGAGAAAGTTGTCTTCTCATCTGAGATTTTTTCCCCTGCACTTCAGTATATTTGGCAGAGTTGTAGAACCATTCCTTCCTTCCATACCAGAAGGGCAATCTTTAAAGACCTGATCCAGAGCAAGGCAGTACAACCTGAGAAGAGAAGCTTCTGTAGCAGCTAAGTAAGACTTAAACAATTAAAATTCCAGTGCACAGGTGACTCATCCAGCATCTAACTAGCTGAAATGTCTGTGTTTAAAGATGCTGACAAAAAATGTGCAAGACCAAGGCAGCAGAATGCTTAGCTATGAAGGCAAGTAAGCACAGCACTGTAGCAAGCTTTTTCCCCAGCACCATGCCTCAAGTGTCATGCTAAAGGAGATGGTATGCTTCATTATCTGCTCCTTTTACTTCGTCCACTCCATTCATGCAGAGACAGACATTGCAGAGTTAGCACTTGCCAATATCTCCCCATCAGAAAATGGACCAAACCCATTATTTCAGAGGACAAACAACTGTGTTGGTGTCACCCTGGAGTCTAATAACTAGGGAACTGTTCTGACAACCAGAAGTCAAAACAAATATGGCAGCTCCAACAGCAGCTTTTACTCAGCAAGCTGTTGTTTACTGCCATAACAGAGCTAGAGCCTTCAGGAACATTTCGCACTAAAAGCACTTTAGAACCCTAACGTGTCCTTGAAGGAGTCAGTTATTTAATGGACACATAAGGATGTTACATTTCCTTCTGAAGGAGGTGAAAGCCTTTGCTTCAAGAGAATACAGCACTGGTATCAGTTTTACTCCATGATTTGTCTGCTTCTGCTACTATTGAGAGGTGCACTTTGCCTTATGTCTGAGAAATGTAGTTCTTAAATCTAGGCACCATAAGCTACGTCTGAGAAGGTATTCTACCATTTCAGATTGTGTCGTAAAATTTACAGTCAAGACTTTCTTCTGTTATAAAGCAACGGACGTTTCCCTGGGAAGGATGCCACTGCAACTGAAGGAAGTCTAAAGCTGGCATACAGTAGATCAAACAGCAAATGGGGACAAATGTAGCTGACACGAAAATGAGAACATTTCTGTGCTTTTTAGGCTGCCTATCTGTATAAGTGTTAATACTGATACCAGAATTGAAGTCATCTCTGGAATCCCATCCACCTCCTCTGGATTCTCGGGAACCTCCTCCCATTCCTAGGAAAAAAGCCACAATTGTGTTCAGGTCTGACGCTGTGGGAAAGACTGATCAAGGGGATACCAAACCAAAGTTTCAATCCTTTAATAGCCAAAGTCATGCTGCTGGAAAATCCTTCAGTTTCAGTATTACCTAGTTCCATTGGATAGGAACAAAAGGTGAGATTAAGTTAACCAAGAATGTACGGTCAGAAAAACGTCTTTAATATACATTAGAGACATTTAGATATGCACTTGAGTCTAGTTCAAGTAGGCTTTATGACTATGGCAAAGCCTATTTTTTACACTGGAACATGAGATATCCCAAGGTAACGATTTGTATGATTGTATTTACTTAACTTACTTTCTTACACAACAATAAAATAGTAGATCAGACTGCTGGGCTTATGATTGTCCTCTGCAAGACACTGTACATTACTAGGGGTATTGGTCTCACTTCCGGGGCTAGGAGTGACAACATATTCAGCTTTTGGACAAAAAGCGCATCTATTCCAGACATCTCAGGAGCAGCAACAGCTAGGTTAGAAAGGAATATACAATTTCTACTTCCATATACTCTTCATGGGAGATTTACTTGCGTGCCTTGTCTTAGCATTAGTTAGCACCAGAAGTGATAACCAAATGTTATATTTCAACAAAATATTTAGGGAAAAAAAGTCACCTCTGTCATCAGGCCCACCACCTTTTCTGAAGCCAAAACCACCTTTGTCCTGTTTTCTGCCTTCTGCTATGTCCACTCGGAGTGATCGGTCACCCAAAAGCTGTCAAATAAGAGAATCTTTTCAGAATTTGCTAGATGAGCATCCAAGGAATCTGAGACTTGCGCTCATCTTTGTTTCACATATTAATTGGAAGTATACTTACTGCACCATCATACGTAAGAGCTTCCTTGAGTGATTCCACCTCATCAAACTCTACGTAACAAAATCCTGTAAGAAGAGCCTCACAAGTTAATACCAGCAATTTAAGAGCCATTTATAAGAAGTTTCTCTTTCTATATACCTAATAGTCTCCCTTCTTTCAGCCACGAGCTAAGGTAGTGCAAGATGTACACCACTCAGGAACCACACATTAAGGACAAATTTATTACCTATGCCTATTAACAGCTGGGACAAATCCTGCAATACAGCTCTTCACATGAACACTATACAAATGCAAAAACTCCAGTTAGGTTCCTTTACCACAGGTTCTCATTACAGATTAGCTTCGATCAATGCCTTTTATCAGCTATTTGGTTGGATACTGATGTTTGCTTGCTAGCATGTTTACACAAGAAGTTGAAGCATCTGCTTGAACAGCAGTCTGATTTTGCATCTCACATCATTTGTGAATTTGCTATTTCTTTTTGAGACCCTCTGTCACTCAAGTTAAGCCTTTTCCTCTCTAAAGAAATAACTTAGAAATAATATAGTCCTCTTCCCAAGGCCACAGCTCCAATGGAGAAGGCTGCAACCTATCTCAAACGTTATTTGCTTCCTGTCATGCTATTGCCTGAACAGCCTAATTGCTTTTCCTCCCTCCCCACCAAGAGATAGAGGGGGATCAATGGGACTCTTGTGAGCTAAAGACAACTGTGGAGGTACTCAAGACTTTGGTATCATGGAACTTAAGTGGGTCAGGCACTTCAGGTTTGTTATAATCCATACAAGACAAACAAGATTTGAGAAAGCCCTCTTATGGCAAGGCAAATATTGACTCTTCTCACTTGTGTTAGTTTATACCTTAAGATAAAGGTAACAATGAATCTCTCACAAATGAGATGTTTGTTAGCGAAAAACAAGCTCGCCTGACTTGAAAAACAAGCTAAGGCAACACGGAAGAAAACCCCACACTAACAAGCTAACTGGTCTTTAGAGCAGAGACTGAAATTCATCATTAAAACAATTTAGAAATACATGCTTTCCTGTATTTAGCCATCTATATCTACAACAGTTCTGAATACTCACCTTTAAATTTGTCTGTTTCCTTGTCTCTGACTAGTCGTACACTTCTTACACTGAGATCCTTGAAGATAGCATCTATGTCTCCTTGAACAGTGTTGAAGGGTAGATTTCCCACATATGCTGTGAAAGGGGGTTCTGTTGGCAGCTCTTTCTGTTTGCGGGAGCCAAGGCCACCACCACGAGACCTGTTGAAAAAGCACAGTTAGTCTCTGGCACTTGATTCCCAATACAGCTAGTAATATAATATATGGCACAGTTCAGATGCTGTTTGACTTTCTGGAAGTGCTTTCCACAAATATAGTTAGCTTTTCCATCCTGCACCTGCCACCCCCAGTACCAGCCAACTCCTTTCTGGTATTACCTGATCAGTACTTCAGGGGGAAAACAAATAATCGGTATCTTTAAGTGCATTACAGGTGAACTCAGTAATGAAATGATGAATTAACTTAACTTCCTTCTCATATCACAATCCATTGAAAAGACCACAACATAAAGTTATCTGCACTGTCCCCATCCATTCCTTCCCCCAAAATACATCCCAGACAAGCATAAGAATAACCCACACCAGTAAAGAAATATTTGAATGACACAGGCTCTTCATCTTATTCTGAAATTAAACAGGATACAATGCTTTTAACTAAATAGTATATTATCAAGAAATACTCCACAACCATGTACATTATTTCAGCAGTGTTCAGCTTAACAGAATCATCTCCTAGCTCTGAAAAGTTACTGCAAGAACAAGCTGTCAAGATACCTAAAGCATACCTGGGCTGGCAATGCTTTAACTGGACACACAGTAACAAGCTTATTTGATTTATTACTCTACTCTAGAGTAACCAAGAATTTCAGTGATATTTGGAAGCTTAATTTCTCCTTTGTGGCTTGTGAGTTACAGACAGAGGAAGATTAGGTTGCCCTTTCCCACCTCTTCTCTAGTTTCAGTTAAGGCTATCAGCATTGGTTTGCCGAGAAGCCAGACTGTACCAGCAGAGTTCTTTACTGTACTAACACAACACATCCACAGAAACGTTCGTTTCCTGTAGAGCCTAAGCCTTTAAAGCTAGCTAACTTTGATCACCTTTACAAAAAAAAGATTTTTTTATTGTAGGCACAAGTCAACCTTAAGTTGTAACAGCTTTGCCAGAGTTCTCTAGACTAGAAGATGCCACTGCTACTGGTTCCAATAGCCTTTCCCTTGCGTCAGTAGTGTTCAACTTTTTTCAGAGATGCTTTGTATGCTACTTTGCTCATGTTCTCTTCTTTAATTCTTTACTTCTACCGGGTTTTGCTCATGTCTGCACCCTTCCCCAGAGGCTCACTGCACATATAAGAGGGGAACACAAGGTGTACCAGGATTAGCTAGTGTAACATGGACTAATTAGATTTCTTTAAGTTTGTTTGGCCAAAGGCCAGGCCCATAATTGTATTGTTTTATTTTATGCTGGGCACCTCTGTGCCTACTGCAAGCAATGCAATTGTTGTCCATCTTTGCTTTGCACCCCAGAATAAGTATTCTGTTATTGCCCATGAATCAGATAAGAACACTTATTCAAAATTCCTGTTAACACTTTCTAGATAAGCCTGCCATTAATGCCTATTCATGGTAGCAGCTCTGTCTAGGAGTCATTTGACATCAAAAGAGCATGCTGCTACATATACTTGAATCACAACCTACACAGGATGTTTAATATTAGTATCCACCTAGGTTCACATTTTAGCATTTTTAACAATATCCTTTAACTACCTTTGTCTCATTTACAAGTAATCCAGAGTCAGAAACATAATCAAGAACAAAAGCTACCACTGTTTGGGTGCTGGATTAAAACTTACAGCACTCTTATAACTAAAGAGAAGAGGGAACTCCAAGAAAGCTGAGCTACCCTTCTAAAAAGTTTTGTAGCATGTAAAGTCAGTTCCATGACTTCACATCTAATTCTCACCTGCAGATTTTTGAACTCTAAAAATACTACACATTTAATTTGCAGTAAAAATATTAATTTTTGTATTCTATAAGGAACACCAGAATCACTTAGGCAGAGCTTAAAGCAAATGTTCCCTCCTTCTGTGTGTTCTTGCCATGTTCCTTGGCCTGTCAGTCATTTCAGTCAGTGAGCTGATTCATCTGAAAACTCACCCTAAAGATGAATTCTCAGCCAGATCAGTGAGGTGATCTGGCTAGCTACAAAGGCACCTGTGCCAAAAGAGAAGGGAAATGAAAGCCAGGGCAGCCAGGGCAGGAACTACAGCTTTCAACAGCAGCCTCTGCTTGGATCAATTCAAACTGCTTCTGAAACCACACCCTCAAGTTCACAATCAACAATCCCCAAAGCAATTTAATTTTGTTCCGCTGTAAAACCTTGTTTCTACTGCAGCATATAAGGATTTTGGGGGGTGGGAGGGAAGAGATCAATGCCCTATTATGCAATTCTTATTGATAGTTATTGATATTAAGTCAGGAAAAGTACTCTGTTTTAATTTGATCCACTAAGACACCAGTTATTGAATGTATACATTAAGTATTTTGGTCTTCATCTGTATAGCAGCAATGGTCCTTAACTAGGTTTCAAACTAAATTTCCCATAAAATCTAAGTATACCTGCAGTACTTAAAAGATACTGCTTCTACGTTTCTGTACTTTTTTAAAACACAATGGGCCCAAAAATTTAAGACTGACTTCTGATTTCAATAACCAAATAATGAGATGGAAAGATGACACATTTGTAACAATAGGACAAAAGTCAACTATAACGAAGAACATTTCTGAACTAAGCGAACCAGGTCAATTCCTGACACACCAAAGTGTTAAACGAACATTTGATATCTCCACTCAGTATGACTTTAGCTCAGACAATTAGGTAATAATTATGTCATCCTAACATGGGAATCTTAAAGATGGAACACTGATTTCTTTTTCGGAAAACTGAAGAGGAAAGCTAAATAAGAAAACTTGCTCCTAGCAAGAGCAGAAGCAAACATCTCTAGTGGGGAAGAAATAACAATCAAATCATCATTTTGAAGCTACTGTTTTAGAAAGTTCAGGTTATTCTCTCCAGAAGCCAACACCTGTCAAAGGCTCAAAACAAAGCATCTTTTGGAAAGCTGGTATTTAAAGGCCTTTCAACTAAGGACCAACCAAAGCAATAGTTCAGTATTTATCTTTTTCTGTATTACAGAGACAACAACCTAATCAGATTCCAATGTTAGCATTTCATGACAGATGCCCTAAGGCTCAGCAAGACACAAGATCTGTCAAGAGTCTCCAGACCATAACTCTAAATATGTACCTAGTTTATTCACACAATCCACCACATCTGTACAATAGCATCACAAGTCTTCTCAAGAAAAGCTTACCAGAGCCTACAAAATTAGGAGACATTTATTAACACTAAACAGGTAAGACAAAAGATCCAACATGCCAAAAAGATAGACTGGCTCTCTTTTCACTTGCTTATGCAATACTTCAGCAGATGATGCTCAACCTTTGAGTAAGGTGGCCAGCATTGTTAAGCTCAGCACTTAAAACCATACCTAACACTAAAGAGCCTGCCAGCAAATCAGGGTTGACAGATGCTCATAACTGCCTTCAACTCTGAGAAGCTCGACAGATGTTCAGAGAGTCTGAGCAAGGCTACAGTCTTCCTACATATGGATTTTGGTATCAAATTCTGGGCTTCAAAACACCAGCATCTCTTATATTAAGCCTTTGTTATTAACATCAGCAGCACAGCTTCCATCCGGAGTAAAGCAGTTTTTGCATATCATGAAGAGCAAATGCATGATACTATTAACACATTACCGGACATCTCAGAGACAGCAAAATTTCCAGTATCGTCAGGCCACAGCTTGTTAAGGTCTGACATCATGAACTTGTTGCTAGTGACTAGCGAGAGCAATAGTTTAGATGCAAGTAGAAGTTGCATCCTATTTTAATGTCAGTAGCATCTGAGGCTCAAACCACAGCTAATGCAGAGCGTGTACTCTTCATCTGCAGAGGCATTTACTAATCAGCAGGACACCTTTAGTCCACCAAAACAAGCATCCAAGTCCTGCCTGAGAGCAGGTTTAAGTACTCTATTAAAATCTGAATACGAAAGTTAAACATTTTAACTTTAATTTTATAACTCCATGGACCGTGCCTACATTGTCTAGTAGAGACTGTACAGTAGCATCCAGATTTATTACATAAGTGCCACTTCAGGCTGGTTTCAAGGTCGTTACAGAATACAAGAAATACTAGAACTATAAATGGCTATATTATCTGTTTATTCTGGGATCTCTACACAAAGGATATTTGAGCATTAAAAAAATAAAAAAAGAATTAAATTTACAAAACTTGTCAGTGTTTCTAAATATGAAAAAAACTATTCCTGTTATGATCACAGTAATAGCTCCTCCCTTTTGCCTAGCTAGTCTCAAAAATGAAACTGATGTATTCCTCTAACTTCAGGAAAGGACAAGAACTCTGTTGATCCAGATATGTATCTTGGAAGACTAGATTATAAAACAGCACACTTGTTAAGATTTGTTTGGAAAGATAAGTTTACTCCACACTTGGGAAAGTATAGACAGACACTTGTACAGCAATCTCCAAATAAACTCAACTGCTACTTGCATCTTCCTAACCTGACTTCAAGCAAATTTAGTAATTGCTGCTTATTGTTTCTGTAGCCTTTAAAAAAACCCTGTAAGTGACAGGAGTTCACAGGGAGGAGCCCTTAACAGCTCAGTTCCAAACTTTCCCAAAGGTGCATCTAGCAGGCCACCCCAAAGGGTTTCTCTGCAGACTCAACCCCTTCATCCCCCCCCTCCCCCCACCATGTGCACTCTCCAGCTAAGAAGGAGAGATGATCCAGACCCCACTTTAAAGGGCCAGAGCCTTGGAGTCAACACCCGGGGCCCCGGCTAAGGCAGGAGCGCAGCTCACAGCTCTCCCTGATCGGAGGTACCGCAGAACCCTCCCATTTCCTCCCCG